ACTCTAAGCCTCCTATGTAAGAAATTCCAGTGAAGGGGCAAAAAATAAAAAAGAAAATTTTAAGCTGCATAGGGGAAAAACCTTTAAATTATTTCTGTTATTGGTGCAAAATGTGAGGTATTTGTTGAAAATGCTTGAGATATTTGTCACTTTTTTCATACCACAGACCAGATCCTTGGTCCTGCTCTGGGTGCTTTGCACAGAGCAACACTACAATCAAATTAATGGCCATTTGATGATTCCACTTGCATTGGCAGATCTTCAGGAGGTGTAGACAGGTCATAGTGGCTTATAGGCTGGATGTCTGAGAGAAAGGAGACCTGGCCAGTGTCCCTGTGTCCCAGCAATTCCAAGCTGTTGGAATGGTCCTTCAGGCTGCTAGGATAAGTTAAAGAAGTTCTCAGATCATTCTAATTTGTGGTGGGGCACAAGGCTGGTATCAGGATCAGAAGGCTACAAAGGAAATAGAAAAAGAAAAAGACTTTATATTCTATTGTATTTTTAAGAACTTGTACATTATTCTATAATCAAAACTGTTGCATAATGCATATATATATGCAAGAAGGCAGACTTAAATTTATGCAGGCAACATTAACTGTGGTATTTCCTAACTTTTCCCTTCTTGATAATAAGCCTAGTATTCGGTTAGCATAATTTAAAAAATATATTGTTGGTGTGTATCAGAAGTTATTTTTGATAGGGGTGCGTATCTAGTAGCCTGTGAAACCATCACCCAAAACAATCACATCTTCCACCACGGTAAGAGCTTTGTAATTAGCTAGCAGAAACATTGCTTAAAGTGGGCTAAGTTAATCAGTTCCCTAGTCTCCAGCGGAAATCTCTTTTTATAGTAGCAACATGTGGATCTGACATACTGGGTTTTGTTGTTGCTTGAATCTTAACCTCTTGGGTGGGAGATAGGAGTAAAGCAATCACAATATTTCACAGGATTTTCTCATACAAACATAACTTTTTAAACTGATTAAATATAGTAGATTCTAACAAAATAGAATAAAATGGCTTTCTAACGACAATAACTAAATACCTTCTGGAAAAGGTTTTATACCCAAGTGCAAATGATATAGGCATGCTCTGACAATTGACACTTTGCTTGGGGAATCACACCTTAGTACACAGAACAACTAGACAAGAGAAGAAAGGGATGAAACAAATATTTGATTACAGTATTATTTTTATGTCATGGTTTATTTTGAGCTACCTTGTTTCTGAAAACATGCATAGTGGCAAATTAATGTCTGCTAGATTTTTGAACATATGCAATATAAAGCGAAGTGAAATAGTCTGACTATTTTAAATAACAATAATTAGTGGGCAACATTCACTTTTAACAATGGAAACCAAATAAAAACACTCCATGAGCAATCGTTCTTCAACAAATATCAGCTTAAGATATCTGAATGAATCTTTTCCCATAGGAATGACATTACATTGAGACCCAGGACTTCCAAGCTAATTATAATAATTGCTGTTCCTGACCTGATCCCTTTGTTTTCCTGAGTCTCATTTTTCTACACCCTAATCATTATAAGCTTTACGTAGTTCTAGGTAACTTCTAATTAATTTCTAGGCCTCTTTTATTTTCATTATGCTGGGTAAACTCAGAGTTAACTTTCATTCACGTATGCTAAAATTCACAGTCAACTCACTGTGCTGCCTCAGTGAACAATGATACATAACACTCTTCAGGTCATCAGTTTGTTTCTTTTGCTTATAAGATGGAAAGTTAGCTTGAATTATCATTCTTATTTTACAAGTTATTTGTGTCTCCAATCCACCTCTCCCCTCTATCCCATACACACACTGAAATTCAAGTTTTTCTTCAGCCTGTAGTCATATTTTTAATTGCATGGGACATTGAAGAGTATCTTAAATGTCATGTCTGCCAATGTTCATTTACAATGAAGGCTTGTCTACATGGCAAAGCTATTGTGAAATAAGCTAGGATGTGAATTTAAAGAGCAATAGCTATTCACCACTAGCTGCCTATGCAAACACTCTTATTCTGCTCTCTAAGAGAGTGAACTAAGTTGAACCACACAAAGGCAATTTTAGTGTGCAATAAGAATGTCCACGTGGGGGAGCTAGTGCAGAATAGCTGTTCTGCAATACCTATTCCAGTCTGCCAAACCTGTTGAATTAATCTGGGGTCTTCTTCAGGCTACTGCTGTTGTTCTGTCTATATTCCAAAAATGTGTAACTAATCAAATGCTCTTTCAATAGTGCAGAGAAGTCTGCAGACTAGTGAACATGTGCATCAAACTATCATACCATACCAGTCATGTTACTCATCTTGTTTCAGGAAGAAATATACCCTTACTGGCCAGCCTACTGTAATCTAGAATTCTTGAAATAAAGTAAGAGAGCATTATTTTAAAGCTATATAAAAATGGGTTTACTATTTTAACCAATTGTGGAAAATCAATTTACATAAGCAGGTATTCTTTGAACATATAATTGTTTAGAAACTCAGGTAAGCTTAAGCACAGAATTTTTCATTGAGTATTTACAGGCTGCTAAAAAAATCCTGAAGAATATACTAACAATTTCTCCACTGAAAATGTTTCTTTGATGCAAGTACAGTATAGTACAAGTAGGTTCTATTTCTAATCTGCTCTAAACATAGCATCCATATATATGATTCTTTCCTGGGCTTTGTCTTTATTAATTTTTATTAAAAAAAAAAAAACTAAGCAAATTTCAACCTAAACTTTCTCTTGAGCCTAGCTATTTCTAGGATTTTTCCTTGCCCTTAGCTCCCTCTGCCCCAGAGAGAGGTTCCAACCCGTCTTATATTCTATTTGTAGTTAACATGACCCACTGGCAGCAGAAATAACTCCTCATATTTATGTAGGTTTCTATCACCTGGCATTAAGATAACTTAGCCAACGAGCCCTAGAACCTGCCATCCTGTAACTTGTAGTATCAATTATTTTTATTTTGGTTACTGAGCCCACTCCTGAAGTCCTTAATCAGTCACTAATCAACCAAAGCTCTTAATGGGAAACAAATATTTAGTGCAGCTAGCGGGGATAGGCATAATGTAAGTTGTCTTTTTTACAACCGCTCTTCTTTTTGTTCCTCTCCGTGCAGTGACACCATCATAATTCTTTACATGTGGCATCACAAATGGTTCTCATGGAAATGACTAATGTTACTAATACAGGATTGACCTCGCTGACTTGGAGCCTTAAATCCTGCTATAGCTAGCAACAGTGTCTAGGTAGGACAAGCTTTTCTCCTTAATGCATTGCAGGTATTAAAAGAGCAAAGCTATGCAGCCTCACAGCAAATTTTGTTTTGGTTATTGAAAGAAGCCACTGCTTTCCTCTGCAATCCAGCCTACAGAGCCAAAAGCATTTTAATGAAGTGTATTTCCCCGACCCCTACATCAGCTGTAAACACATCACTAGCATAGCAGCAGCAGCAGAAAATCATAAAACCAAACTGTGGAAAAGGGACTCCCAAATGCATTGTAAATTGTAAAGAAAAAATCAACTGGGAGACAGTATAGCAATGCACTTTTAATGCCAGCCATGCATTAATGATAAAAGCATGTCTTCCCTAATAAATCTTGCTAGAAAAGGTGCAGCTTCCTGAAGAGCTCAATTGGATGATCAAGATGACTAATCATTGGTTTAATGCATTCAAAAGGAAGAGGCAGAAACAGACAATTGCTCATAAGAGCTTTACTGAAATATACATTTTCACTGATGTAGTTTCTTATTTTTAAAATGTTCCTACCCAATGCTTTGTACATGCACAAATCACAAATGCAAAGGTCCATATAATAAATCCTCTTACTACCGTGTATCAAAACCAACTTCTTCAAGCTGGGACTCACCTGGGAGACATGTTTCACTCAGTGCAGCTATATTACTGTTATATTTGGCAAGTTCTCTTCTGCTGAGTGCTGTGCACCTTTCCAGCCCACCAGCATCATCAGAAACAGTGTGGACATTCCAGGATGCAAAGTTCATTGTTCTTTGTGTGTGATGTTGCCTTTTACTGCACAGTTGGATGACCAGCTGGTCACAGCGTACTAGCAAGTCAATAATGGAGTGAGCAATGTTTAGGGATCCTTTTCTCCCCCTTCCCCAGATTGGGGAGAGCAGCACTATCCCTAAACAGGTTGCTCTGATGCATGAGAAGGATATAGATGCCAATGTTACTTCAAGTCAACAACGGAAGACCATCATTCTCGCACCACCTGAATGTAGGTTTGTGACTAGGGATACCCGGCAGCATCCTCTGCCTGTCCCTGTCACCATTTGCCCACTGCCACAGGGCTTTTGTGACAGATTTCAGTTACCAATCTGCCTGAGGCATCAGGTGATCAGGCTGAGGCCACAGGATCATTTGGGGAGGAGATGACGAAATACACCAAGGTATTTTAAAGCTTTATTAATACAATAATAAAATAACACTGGAGAGTGATGGGTGCTCCCCCCGTCACTCAGAGGAAGGAAGAAAGCGTTAGTGCCCCAAGCCCTAACCCACTTTCATACTCACACATGCTCTACCCACGGCTGGCCAAGCCTGGGTGTAACATAAGAAGAAGAGGGGGTAGGGTGGACAGGAGTTCTGTTCTGGGCCCAGGCCATCTGAGGTCCGCTGTTGATCTCCGAATTGCTCCAGCTCTCAGGAGGGTTTTTAAGTCCAGGGTGCCTTTGGGGGTGTTTCGTTCTGCGACCTCTGTCCCTGGTATTCTTTGTACCAGTCCAAACTGGCTCTCTGTGGTCTCCTCAACTTTCCCAAAACACACCGGCTAGACTTTGTTGTCCTCTTTGTTTTCCTCCATGCTGGCCTTCACTTGTCTCGCTCGTTATGGGCTGCCTCTGCAGGTCTGCTCAGCTGCATCTTCCTTTCTCACGGCTGATCGGTAAATTCCGGGCCCCCCTCTTTCTTGGTAGGCAGCCGAGAGTCAGATGTGTGTTGTGGCCTTGAGCAGGCTGGAGTCAGCGTCTTATCTTTGGGCCTAGCAGGAGTGCGGAGTTAACCCATTCTCTGCTCTCTTCCTTCTTCCCCCTCTGGTCTCACGTGACCTGCAAAGGAATCTTCCGTTCCACACTCACTCACACCTTTGACCCTTCCCAAAATGCCCTGCGATGCTTGCAATAGCGTTAGCAATATACAGTGCTGATCTGCCTTCCCCAGAGGACCCCTTGGGCCATTGGGGTGTGACACTTTCAAAGAACAGAATGAGTGAAGAGATAGCAAGGAATAAAGACTGTAGACCTGCACAAAGATTTGTTTAAAGGGGTACTAGGTTGTGCATGACTAGTCACACTCCCTTGGCTTTGTCGGCCATTTTGTCCACTGGTGCAGAAGGCTGCGATGAGCCGGCTGACAAACAAAGGTGCAGCACTTTACAAGGTGCAGGCAAAATAACTGAGAAAATTGCATGTATAACCCTTTGAAGGCCAAAGTGATCAAGTAAAGCATTGCCAAAGCTTGTAGACTGAAGCAGAAAGAGCTGCTCCACAAAACTCCATGGGCCATGACTGGCTAGCAGGCCAGACAGCCCTGTTTGACCTGCACCTAAACCACCTGCCTACTGGGGCTAAGAAGCCTGGTCTACCCCAACAATGGGCTACTTTTTATCTGGCCCCTATTCTCTGATGACAGCTGAAATGCATCTGTTCATGTATGGCAATGTGCATATGCACTGACTGATATTCAGTGGTGTTTTGCCAGATCTCTGCATCTGGGTAGTATCAAGTATGTTGCTCTCACATTGCTTGGGATGTACAGGAGCAACAAGCAAATGGCAGTCCTGAAAGTGGGAGATGGGGACCAAACACAGCTTTCATAGTGCTGGGTACCACTCTGGTATAATTGCTTTTCTGATGTTTACTCTTGTGGGAAGTGTTCTGCATCCATCTATCAAACAGGATTGTTGGATTTTCCTCTGAAGTGGACCTCAAACCCTAACAGGAGATGATGAGGGGACAATAATCTCTAGTGTATTTCCCTTGACACTAAGTCAATGCCTGGAGTACATTTTCTGCCAGTAGGCATAGTATTATCATCATATAGAATGCAGAGTACCTACATACCTGCACTCTGACCAAGACCAGCTCTATTTTTTCTAGCTCATGCAGCCAAGAGCAATTTCCTCAGAAAAAGGGATGCAGAGGTGCTTCCCCACCCGTCTGGTGAATGTGAAGTTGCACAGTGGAATTCCTTTTAGGGAAATTGCCCAGAAGCAGTATGCTTTCAAATCACTTCTGGTACTCTGTATGTGTGTCTCACTAAGATGAAGATTTGTGACCAAGTAGTACATGATTGAAAACATTTGGGTAAAATGATTAGCATTCTTGAACAACGCCTAAATTTTGCTGGGAGTTTGTTCTCTCTCTTACCTTTCCTTCTGTGGAAACTTTTCAAAATATCTTTGAAGGAGGTTGTTATAAGATTGACTGAATATTTGATAGTCTTATAGAGAAGTCACAATTCTTATCCTCCACAAATGCAGTGCACTATCATCTTCAGTACTGTATGATAATGAAGATGATAATAAAACAGGGAAATTCAAAGCAAGAACATACTGTAATAGCATGTGTCAGTAGATCTATCAGTCCCTTCCAGACTTTAATCTTCCTAGATTCCTGTAGTAAGTTATTAACAACTGTGTGCAGACAGCTCATGCACTGCAAGAAGAGAAATACAACAGCCATCTAACGTCCGTTGCAAAGACTAAAGTCACAATCTAGCCCCGAATGATTTTACCAATTCAAGAATAACCATCTCAGTTGATCTATGCAAAGATGTTCAATAAAACAATGAACAATGAATAATGATTTTTAAGTAAGCTAGGCACCTGTGATAATGCTTCCTGTGTTCTATTTAAAGCTTAGAAATCAGTAATTACCTTAAGTGAGTAATCAGCATGAGAACTAGAGAATATGTAGAGCCAAACCATTTTGTTAGCCAGCAGGTACTCAATTATCAGTGTGAAGGGAGAGAAATCACTTTTCACATTATGTTGAATTCTGAAAAGGTCAGTAAGGTCCTGCTGATTCAAATCAAAACCTTCTCTTAACTGACATGCCCATGTTTTTCAATAAAAGTACCATTTCTTTTTATTACTGCAGAAAGGCAACGAAGACAAGGATTGCAGAAATACCTGATTTAGTGGCAATTCATGATTTTCAAAGAAGGAATATCATCTTAGAATAATAGAATCATAGAATATCAGGGTTGGAAGGGACCTCAGGAGGTCATCTAGTCCAACCCCCTGCTCAAAGCAGGACCAATTCCCAACTAAATCATCCCAGCCAGGGCTTTGTCAAGCCTGACTTTAAAAACCTCTAAGGAAGGAGATTCCACCACCTCCTTAGGTAACCCATTCCAGTGCTTCACCACCCTACTAGTGAAAAAGTTTTTCCTAATATCCAACCTAAACCTCCCCAACTGCAACTTCAGACCATTACTCCTTGTTCTGTCATCAGGTACCACTGAGAACAGTCTAGATCCATCCTCTTCGGAACCCCCTTTCAGGTAGTTGAAAGCAGCTATCAAATCCCCCCTCATTCGTCTCTTCTGCAGACTAAACAATCCCAGTTCCCTCAGCCTCTCCTCATAAGTCATGTGCTTCAGCCCCCTAATCATTTTTGTTGCCCTCCGCTGGACTCTTTCCAATTTTTCCACATCCTTCTTGTAGTGTGGGGCCCAAAACTGGACATAGTACTCCAGATGAGGCCTCACCAATGTCGAATAGAGGGGAACGATCACGTCCCTCAATCTGCTGGCAATGCCCCTACTTATACAGCCCAGAATGCCGTTAGCCTTCTTGGCAACAAGGGCACACTGTTGACTCATATCCAGCTTCTCGTCCACTGTAACCTCTAGGTCCTTTGCACTTGTCTTTGTTGAACCTCATCAGGTTTCTTTTGGCCCAATCCTCTAATTTGTCTAGGTCCCTCTGTATCCTATCCCTACCCTCCAGCCTATCTACCACTCCTCCCAGTTTAGTGTCATCTGCAAACTTGCTGAGAGTGCAGTCCACGCCATCCTCCAGGTCATTAATGAAGATATTGAACAAAACCTGCCCCAGGACCAACCCCTGGGGCACTCCACTTGAAACCGGCTGCCAACTAGACATGGAGCCATTGATCACTACCCGTTGAGCCCGACGATCTAGCCAGCTTTCTATCCATCTTCAGGCAATGGGCTGAGCCTGCATGCCCTCTGTATACAAAGCTCTCATGTCAACAATGTTAGCAGTTCTGATGTTTAATTTGTAAACCTTATGTTACAGAATTAATACCGCATGAATAAGGACAGATTACAAAATTTTCAGCTATAGTTTCAGGTTGTTGGCAGACTCAGAGACAGTGTTGCAGCAGTTTATGTTTGGAATGTTATATTCACAACTCTAAGGGTTGGGTTGCTTTATTTTTATTTATTTATTTCATTTGTTTGTTTGGGTAAATGAATACCTAGATTCTGGAGAACAGTTTTCTGGCAAGATGATTTCTTTGTAAATTGTCCAGCTGCTGAATTATGGAACACACAGGTCCCTCAATACAACAAATCAAAGAGATTACAGATCAAATTTTCCTCTCATTAACACTGGTACAATACCAATGTCTTCAGTGGGGTTGCAATAATGTAATTAAGAGGAGAATTTGGCCCTACTTATTCAACATATGTACCATTTAATCATAGAATCACAGAAATGTAAGGCTGGATGGGACCCTGAAAAGTCATCAAATCCAGCCTCTTGTGCTGAGGCAGGACCAAGGAAATTTAGACCATCCCTGACAGATGTTTGTCCAGCCTGTTCTTAAAAACTGATCTTAATGAAATGAGTCAATTGCCTACATTAAGTAGACTATATAATTTTTGAAGACAGCTATACATTTTTTAAATTAAATATCCTTTGGGTGTTATTTGCCATGAGGATTATCTTGGAGAGAATTAAAAAATGATAATCTGATTTAAAGTGAGAATACAGTAGAACCCAACTGAACCATACATCACTAATCCAAAAATTGGCAGTGTCTCCACACTTCTCAGCAAAGATTTAACAGCAGATTGCTATAGTCAAGACTATAGTCAGTCAGTATTTTTACTATATCTGTTGTAGTATAGTTAGTACATTCTGAAATTTTATCATAAATAATTAGTGTTAAACTACAGTTGTCAAATAAGTAAAGTACATTTTAAATGCTTTATTCTTCTCATTGCATTCTTTTAACTTGAACAGAGGCAACTCCTACATTTCCTCCATGGCTGATCACGTTCCCCTGGCAAAGGAACTGGTGCCATATCTGTGGGCCGGGGATATATACTCACTGCATAGAGTGGAGTCCCATTGCATGGGGGCTGTAGCAACCTGCCTAGAACTTAGAGAGAGGAGCACAGGTGGCCTGAGGGAAGAGTTTGGAGGAGGCACCAGGAAGTCATTCTGACTGCACAGAGCTAGAATGCTAGCTTCAGTTGCAGCACCTGTGTAAATAGTTATAAGAACATAAGAGCTGCCACAGTGGGTCAGACCGTGGTCTCTCTTGCCCAGTATCCTGTCTCTGACAGTGGCCCATATCAGAGCTTCAGTAGGAGTGTACAGAACAGGACAATTATGGAGTGATTCACTTCTATCTTCCGCTCCTGGCTTCTGGTAGTCAGAGGGGTTAGGGTTGCCTCACGCATGGGGCTGCATCCCTGACCTTCTTAGTTAATAGCCATTGATGGGCCTATCCTCCATGAACTTATCCAGTTCTTTTTTGAAAGAAGTTATACTTTTGGCTGTCATGACATCTCATGGCAATGCGTTCCACAGGTAGGTTGTGTGTTGTGGAAAACCATACTTCCTCTTGTCTGTATTAAACCTGCTGCCATGTTGACTTTTTCCCACAAATCATGTTTATCTGTATGTCTGATCATTCTGTTCTTTACTATAGCTGTCACCAGTTTGCCTGCTATTGAAGTTAGGTTCACCAGTCTGTAATTGCCAGGATCTCCACTCAAGCCCTTTTTAAAAATTGGCATAACATTAGCTACCTTTCAGGCATCTGATACAGAGGCTGATTTCA